TTGTGAAACGGATGAATTCTACTGAAACATCATTGTCTGGTAGTGTGTGGGGTGGACACATTAAATTCGCAGCTGTTGCAATTACCCGCAGACGCAATGAACAACCTCGGGGCAACAATCAAATTATACGATTAGCGGTTACTACCTCACTATCGCACAAATCCCCACCCCACACAGCGTTGTCCGCTGAAGACACAGACACTGTGCGTTCGTGCATGCAGCAACAAGTTCACCTAATTGAAGCCCATTCGTTAGTCGGATCGCTACGCAAAGCATCCCATCGTGAATGGGAGCGGTCACAACGACAGACACGCGCTCGTTTACCAATCACCTCTCAAGAAGCGAGAAACAAGTGCACTCTGAAAGGCGGATGTGAATTATGCGCGTAAGGTGGGCAGATGAAGAGTGAATATTTAAATGAATTAATTAGTCAGGCTAGATCTCGTGTTGCAAATGGTTAAGACAAAATTATCACACTAAGGAGATGGGCAATTTGTCGAAATACGGAAGCCTGTCACAGTGTATTTTGACAATAAGATATCATCTAAGGCGTGCATTACACAGATCATTTACTCGGACAATTCCTATTCTAATTTGCCATTTGGCCAAAGGCCGTAAATCGGCATGCAAAGGACACGAGGTGCACAAAAAGAACCCATAAAAATCCCAATAACTAATCACCATGTTGGCAAACAGCTGGGAACACAAAAAGAGAAACTACTAAAGCAAGAGACGAACTAAGTATTAGAAATCACGAATCCCACCACGGACTCAACTTACTCATAGATAGGTTTGATGAATTGGAAACTGGTAACTTGGAAACAAATAGGATTTCGGAAAAGCACAGAGAAAATCAGGTAGTTTGGTAGTTAAAAATCGAGTCAACGAGCAGACGTAAAAGCGGTGTCCATTGACCTAGTTTGGAAAAGGGCCAGCAACTGATACTTGTGTAGTCCGTCGCTGGCATATCCTGGACAGGGAGAAGGGGCTGAGTGAATGGGCAAATCAAATTTGCATTTCTGGTAGCACCTGTGACCACCCAGTCGTAACCACAATAAGCAAAGGACGTGATAAAAGCCCGCGCAAGTGATCAAAACGAACCAATCGACGCTATGGAAGCAGAGCTGTGTAAATTCATACGATACAAAGGGAAGAACTTAAAGTATGAAAAAAAAAGTAAAAATATTTTCAATTAATTTCTGTGCCCCCGAGACGAATAGTTTGGCAAAAACAAAAGACCATGCAATTTCGTTAAGACAAAGAGTTACACAAAGTAGTGGTAAATTGGGGCAAGTTCTGTGAGCAGTTCCCTGGTGAACATCTCATTGGACAATTTACGACATTTTGGTTCGCTGACACAAGTCATGTACCAAAGCACACACCGATCATGCAGTTTAAGCTCAATTCAAGTGACGCGTGCGTCAGCTACTTTGGAGATCTTGGATGATTTCGATGATTTTGATTTAGATGAGTCTTCGAAGAGAACCAACACTTGGAGAATGACAAATCTCCCGAAAGGACATACTACATTGCAAGTTTCTTTCTTCAAAGCACATCTTGAATTTTGTCAGTTGAATTAATAGACATTATGGACGCTGCCGATGTCGAAAACGGTTTTAGAAAGAAGTTGTAATTAATGAAGTGTCTGCCTTTGCACGCTAAAATAAATTTCTGAGCTAGAGTGAAAGAATAGCGCAAACGCCAGTTATCTTTGACTATTAAAAGTACAGTAAGCTAGGAAGGACAAAAATAGTCGGAACTTTTAAAACCAATCCACCGGTAACTACGCTTAGTCCACGCAAAAAGTGCGGACTCGGGAAAATGGGCTGGATAAATGGGCCGTGTAAGTGACCGCGAACGCAATGGGATAGTTTCCTTACAACCGATCTCAAACGACTGGTGACAGGCACCTTATACAATCGTCGTGTTTAAATCCCGGAACCACAGTTAGATGAGGGATCGACCATCTGAAGCGCACATGTCCATTTTTGAAAATGTTTGCTTACTGTGGTCATACTGAGAAACGCAAATAATGTAAACATCGACCATTCTGATGAAGTGAGTGAACAAGTGGTTTTAGGTTTCTTTTGTTTTACAAGACTGATCTGTTTCAAGAGAATAGCAATTGATTTATCAATGGTTTCGTAGCAAGACGAAACCATGGAAAACCCTACTTCCGGATGGAAGGAAGACTCATTATGTTTTAGGAAAGTATCGCAGCAGAAGGCTTCATTCTGACTAAGCTCGGTAAATTATTTAACTATATCGTTAATTCATGCATTCGAGGACATAACTGGAAGACAGGGTAGACCAGATACATGCAATAAGAGCACACTTCATTAAATAAGGATGAGCTCGCAAAACTCAAGCAACTCACCAAAGCATTTGATGTGTTGTCAAAATGAAATAATGCACAATGCTCAATTCGTTTTGCTCACGAGAAATACTTATAAAGTAGACAATGTACCAGGCTTCCTGTGTGTATCATAGAACTGCATGCTTAAAGCATCTTCTTAAAAATTATGATTTTCATAAAACACCTGTGTGTAATAGTAATACGTGTGTTTGCATAGATGAAAATGACTGCGAATAAATCACTTGATGTTTATGATTTGGAAATACTAATACAGGCATATTCCAAAACAACTAATGTTCTGAAAAAGATTCTAGAAATGCGAAAGAAGGTACCTCAAATAACTCAAGTGTCTAAATAATCTAAAATTACGTTGGATGAGTGTTAGATGGAAACGAATTAGGTGACAAACAAAGAAGAAAATATTAGACGTGATATTTACTGAGGTTTTGTGTCCCTGTTCCGCCACACTAGCCAAAGCTGCCCAACTACCATCTGTAGGCGATGTGTCGTAGGCTTGTGGCGGTGGTTTACTCTTGGGATCGGCAGCATTGAAGAGAAGCTTCTGAGAGGCGATATCCACAGGGCCGAGGGAGGAGTGGCCACCTATTCCAGCTAACCGGGAAAGCGAGGACCTCTTACTCGTTCCTCGACGGGAGCTGATTGAGCTGTTGGCCGAGTTTGCGGTTTCCTCATCAAGTGGACGTGGCTTGTTCGAGACCTAGTGGTGTGGTGGCATAGTGGAAATGAAAAATAAAAATGATAACATGATAGGAAAATAAGACCATCGTGCACTTCAGCATTCTCAAAATATTTAAGCTAAACAACTGAAAACAGAAAGCTATGGTGCATAAAAACTCGAAAAAAAAACTTAAAAAATTATGATTAAAAGTAATTCTTGTACACTTTAATTTCATGCCGTGCAACGTCAATAGATGAGGCCTCAAACAAACTAGCAGGAACCAACATTCATCAAAAATGTTTTCAACTCACCCAATTGAGGTACGAGGACACTGTGAATGGGGTTTCATTGATCCTGAAAGTGAGTTGAGGCTCCTCAAGATAATCCTAAACGAGTTGTGAGATAAATCTATGGAAAACATACTAAATCCATAAGTGTATCCACATCACTTGCCGTGAAATCTGTGCTTTGGTGCCAATAAAAATACTGCAGGAACTTTGGTTTATGTGGAAAGTAAGTGCAACAATTGCCCATACTAACTTGCAAAAGGAGGACGCCCCAGTCACACGAAACTACCGCCACCTTAGGGGCAGCTAAAAACGATGGAATATACCACAGCTGTAGAAATATAATTTAGGTCAAAGTATTAATATACGGCACAATTTAATGAGGAAACTAAAATTGAAAATCCAGATTTAATTCGCAAATGAGCGTTTTAATTGATTTGACTCAAGAGCGCCTTTTCCATTATTCCAATTTTACAAAACTATACTTCTGCGATGTATATCAAATCTATGGTGATTGATGGATTCAAGTCTTATTGCCAACGCACTGAGATTCCGGGGTTCGATGTTCAGTTCAATGCCATAACTGGGCTTAATGGCTCTGGCAAATCAAACATACTCGACGCAATCTGTTTTCTTTTGGGGATAACTAATCTTTCGCATGTAAATTTTCAAGTGCATTTTAAACAGTAATAGGTTCGCGCAGCTAATTTGCAAGAACTAGTTTACAAAAGTGGCCAGGCAGGAATCACAAAAGCAACTGTCAGCATTGTCTTTGATAACAGAGATAAGACAGCCTCTCCATATGGCTATGAACAGTTTGATGAGTTAACCATAACACGTCAAGTTGTTGTTGGTGGGAAAAATAAGTACCTCATTAATGGAACAAATGCTACCAACACTCGCGTTCAGGACTTGTTCCATTCTGTACAGCTGAATGTAAACAACCCCCACTTTCTCATAATGCAAGGACGTATTACCAAAGTTCTGAACATGAAACCTCCCGAAGTAATGAATCTGTTCTACTTTTTAATTGTTTTTTTTAGATACTGTCTTTATTAGAAGAAGCTGCAAGCACGAAACTTTACGAAAATAAAAAAGAAGCTGCTCTCAAAACAATCGAAAAGAAAGACAGCAAACTCCGAGAAATTGATAGAGTAAATTGTCTTTATCACTCATTCCACAGGTTTTATATGAAGATATCACACCTACCATCCGAAAGTTGCGCGAGGAGCGTAGTAGCTACTTAGAGTATCAGAAAGTTGTTCGTGAAATCGAACATCTCTCGAAACTCGTCATCGCATATGACTTCACTCGTCTTGAGGAAGCTAAACAGCGCAGCAAAGATGATCTCGCAAATCTGGAATCGACGCTTTCAGATGCAAAGGAAAAATTGGGACAGGTTTGGTCCAGGTTTTATTAGTTTACTTATTTTCCTTGTAGCTGAACTCTGAAAAAGATACTGTTGAACGTAAGATTGCCGATCTCACGCAGGAGCGTCAGACAGTAAGTAGCGGGATTTTATGTTCGCCATGAGAAATTCAGACATTAAAAGCAAGTTATTGCTTGTCTTGGCTTTCTCATGCCATCAAAATTCTATCATTCTGCTATCATTGTCTATTGTAATGTTTCTAACTATCCATTCTGTACGATATGTCTTAATCAACTTGATAAATGTTCGAAATTAACAGTCGTCTTCATCTGTGACTGCGAACTAAGTATTGTTTATTGGGTAAATATTATGCTTCCTTTTGGTATTTTGTGTTATTAATGCTTGTTTTTAAGTAACTCGTCTTTCCTCTTAAGTTCATCAATTAACTTTTTCTGTATGGCTACTCGAGCAATTTCGCACCTCTTATTCGAAATCGTTGCATAAAAATACTTTTCCATGTTCAGAAATGTTTCGTAATGCCTCTTACAGCTCCTTGGATCGGCTTTAGAAGAGGCAGAACACTCGTTAAGTGAATGTCAAAAGATGGAAGCGGTTGCTGCTGGCGCAGCATCTCGAGCTGCCGAGCACTTTCGTACTGTTCAAAACCAACTGCGGTCACTTGAAACTCAATCGACTGAAATGGCCTGTCAATTAGCGGACAAACAGCGTGCCGCTGAAGCAGCTGCCGGGTCTGAATTTAAGTCTTTAGAAGAAGCTGCACTGAAGGCCCACGAGGTCCTTTCCGAAGCCCAGTCAAATTTGGCTGTAAGTATTTATTCACTGGCAACCTGTTTAGTGCTTCACTTCTCAATTCTTCTTTTTTTATGTCGTAGTTCTTTTTCTTTTAATATTTCTATGGCTGGTTTTCAGGCAACCACATCAGGCCTTGGTGGTGGCTCTTCTAAGCACTCCGGTGGCCTAGCAGAACAGGCCCGTGTTGCTGAAGGGCAACGTGTTGCCGTGGAAACGGAATTGCGTCAGTTGGAAATGCGTGAGAAGCATCTGACTAGTGAACTCGCCAGTGGAGAAAAGAAGCTGGCCTCGTTGGAAGCTAAGGACGAAAAGGGGGGTCGTGATGTTCAGAAACGTCGACAGCTGACCGAAAAAATTGAGAGTCTTAATAAGCAGTTGGAGACTTTAAAAAAGGCGGATGAAGCTGCAGGTGGAGATGAGGCGACAATCACAGGTTAGCCTTAATCTTATGGTTGTTTAGCCTGCTTTATTCGTATCTTAATTTCTCCCAATAACAGAATCAGTATGTCATCTGCCTAGTCTTTTACCTGTAGTCATTGATTAACCTATGAGTTTCGTCATTGAAGTTTAAGTATTTCATCGTGTTGGCACCATTCTTAGAATTTCATGTTGTTAATTATTTTTTAGAAAAATTCAACGGTCAGTCTAGAGAGGCTCGCCGGCTGCAGGCTCGTTGTGAGGAATTGGGACGCCAATTTCATCAGCTTCAATTTGAATATGTCGATCCTGAGCCTAATTTCGATCGTCGTCGTGTGTTCGGCGTTGTTGCAAAGCTGTTCGACCTCGTCGACCAAAAATTCGCCATTGCTATTGAAGTTGCCGCTGGAGGAAAAGTAAGCCTGCAAAATCCCCTATTCCTGCTGCTACCATCGAAATCCGCCTGCATTTGGTAGTGTATCACCTAAAATCCTTTGTTATAGCGTCTCGATCTTTTTGTTTGGTGTGTAAGCCTGCTAACACGGTGGAGAACGCTGATGTTTTCAGGGTTAGTCTCGCATTTGGTTGCCTGTTTGGGCGCTTTAAGTATTGACTTACGCGGTGGTTTTGAGAATTTCCTAAATGTATATCGCCTGTGCTGCGATTGCCTAATGCATATTCAATGTGGTGTAAATTTGTAGTCAATCGATTAGCCTTTATTGTTATGAAAAGGTTTTTTATGTGTGTTCTCCAAGGTAAGTCGGAATCGTTACTAATCTTGTTTTTTTGCCTGCCAATTTGTTAGCTCTACAACGTGGTTGTTGACACTGAACAGACGGGCAAATTGGTGCTAGAACGAGGCCAATTGAAGCGACGCGTGACGATGCTGCCGCTAAATCGGATTCGTGGTTCTTCCATTCCCGCGGCGGTCGTTAATAAGGCGCAAAGCATCTTCGGTGCCGACAACGTTGCGCCAGCTATCTCGCTAATCCGCTATCCGCCCCACCTACAGCCGGTTATGGAATTTGTCTTCGGAGGAGTGTTTGTGTGTTCGAGCCTTGATGTTGCGCGAAAAGTTGCTTTCTACCCGAGAATCGAGCGGAAAACCGTTACATATGAGGGGGACATGTTCGACCCACAGGTGCGTCCTATGCTCTGCCTGTCACACCGTTTGCCTCCAAAGTAAATATGCATACGTTTCATCACTGCTACACACCAAAAATATCTCCAAGCGCCAAGACATAATGCTATTGAAAGGAAGGCCATAAAGTTGGTTAACCAAGTGTGAGTATTGCCGCAGTTCGTGTCTGTTTTAGGCCTATCATCCTCATTTGCATGACTTTGTCACTTTCTCTGGATACTGTATGGTGTTCAAGTAGATGTTAATTTACTTGGTGCGTGTGTAATGTAAAATTCTTTTGCGTAAGTTTTTGAGCTAGTTCAGGCCATAATTTTGACCAATTTAAACTCCCTCTCTGCACTGTTTAAATCGTGTGTCCGGCGGAATCGAAAGGAGTTTCTTGCTAATGTCGTCTTCGGTTTTTTTTCTATCGGTAAATGAAGAAATAACATTCGTGAAGCAAAAACCTGCTGAGGTGCCATATGTCTTGGCAAGTTGTGCTGATAATCGGCGGCATTGTTTCTACGTGCGCATCACCTCCAGATCTGTCTAGGCAGCACATTGCGTTTTTTCAAGGTCGTATAATTTGACGTTGTCTTGAATCATCGTGCTTGTTTTCGCTTGTAGTTATGTAATATTTAAAAAATTGGAACGATCCGTTTAGGTAACAATCATAAACAAATAAACGTCGGAATGTAAGTTTCTAAAATTAACGGTCGGCGCTGATTATTTGTGTTTCAGCGCACCCGTTAGTGTGTTTTTTGATGTTGTTTTCAATCAGCACTGCTTCATTAAAATGCTACGTCTTCTCTCCTCTGTAACATAATGCCGCGTACTTTTCCCGTAGGGCACCTTGTCCGGCGGTTCGCGGAATACCACAGGTGCAGGTAGCCTGTTGACACGCCTCTCAGAGTGGAAGATTGCGGAGACCACGGCGACAGAAGCGCTAGCCCGCTTCCAGGAGACCCGACAGGTCCGCGACGCAGCTGTGGAACGCGGTCGTCGTCGAGCCGACCTTATGGAGGCCCTAGATGTAGCTCGTCACGAGTTAGCCCTACTGGAAACGAACTTGCGACAATCTGACACCCATCGCCTCCGATCGGATGTGGGGCGACTTAAAAACGAACTCGGTACGCTCTCGATTGTTTGTAGTACGATCCATGCGAATCCACTTCTACCGCCATTAATAGCAATCTTTCCTAAATTTCTAATCGTAGTTTTAGGGGCCACTATTATTGTTAGGATCTGTTAGGACTTTAGTGGAATACAGGTTAGGTCGCTTTCCGTGGAGCAATTCGGCGCCTGAAAGTTTAACTTTTCTTTTTGAACGGGATGCATTCTAGTGAAATCATGTTAGCGTGGATTTCATTGCTTTCCTTAATAGATGAGGTCCGTGTTTCTATGAAGACTGGCATTGAGCGTTTGAAGGAGGCAACGAAGCTAGTGGAAGAGGCTCGCTGGAGAGTAGAGCATGCCCACGAAGAGGAAGCAAGGGCTCTTCGAGAGGCTGAAGCAGCCGTCAAGGCAGCTCGCATTCACGTCGATGAAATCGAAGCAGCTCTGAAGGAAAAGCAGACTTTAAAGGAAACTCTCCGACTTGAAGCCGACGAGATGGCGAAGGAATTGGAGCAAATCAAGGTATGCATTACCGTTAACCTCAAAAGTACATGCAGGTGTCCTTTTTTGTTGAAGTTTTTTAACACAACTGACTGCCTTTCTTTTACTGACGGTCTGGTGTGCTTCTTGTGTCCTCAGTTATTGATATCTAGTTTTTTCTACTGCACCTTGTAATTTCACCATTTGTGTAACATTGCAGTGCTACTTTACACGGACCTGTATGTATTCAAAGGTACATTGCGTCATTTTTCGCGAACATTCACTATATTTTTTGCTATAACGAACAACATAGTCGTAAAATAGCCAGATTTTGCATAATTCTGGGTTGTAACAAAAATACCGCAGTCGCCAAAACCAGCCACCAAGGAGTCACTCTATTTCATGAAGTTCGCATTTATGACTCCTTTAGACATCTCTGGAACAGACTCGAGTAGAGTTAGGAAACGCTGAGCTAGAGGTCGCCCGCAATAACGAGGATCTGCAGAAGGCAAAGTCTGCCCTCGCAGAGGCTCGTAAGGCGATGGAGTGTCAGCGGAAGCTCGCCGACGACGTCGCAAAGGCCATCCAGACTGCCAAAAACGAGGCCGGCCGAATCAAGGAGGTGATTTCAGCAACCGGTTGCGAAATCGACCGAATTGCCCACGACCTGGAGGTTCAAACCAAGGAAAGCAAGGAGGCTGGCAAAAAGGTTGGTGTAGAGCGGAGGAGGAGGGTGTTGAATTCATCGAACTGTTGATCAAGAAGACCCACTGGTGGTTTTACCCTGACGTCAGAGTGACACCTCTGTCAATCCGAACTCGAACTTACCCGAGGAATCGCAGGCATTATTCCGATTTTTCTCTCACGGATTGGGTTCAAGTACTAATCAGCTTGTGAACACAAGCCAGTGTTGCTCGCTAACGTAATATGTCTAGGTCCTCGGGTGAACGAGAAGTACAGTACCACCTAATTAATAAAATTGTCCGATTATTGGAGGCTCACCGGTGTTCAAGGCCATCCAAACCATCAAGCATTTATACTGCTCTGGAATTTCTGCCTCATCAGAAAGCACAGGTGTGGTGTTAGCTGCAAAAGTATCTTTTAATCTTGTACCGATTTGTCACGTCAATCCTCTCTAATCACGTGGTGAATTCACGTGTGGTTGTCCGCCTTTCAAACTACCTTTGTCTACAGTTATTTCCAGTAAAATATTTTTTTTAAATAACGCGCATGATGTTACCTTTTTCCAATAGCGATTTCTATGGGAATCATTTTGATCACTTTGTAAATTTACGCTAAAACCCAAAACTGGAACGTTAGAATGGTTTCTGATCGAGCAACCTCATTTCTAAAGCAACATACCGCGTTGATATCCCAAAAGTGGTTTGTTTTTTTTCAAAATTTGATTATCTCTCCTTCACTATCGCATGCGCAAACTCCGTCGTTTCTGTTTTAGCACGATTTAGTACTTGTTTGGCTTCTTTGAAACTATCCAAAGCGTCATATTACCGTGTCTGGTTGTGTTTGATTAGTCAATGGAAATGTTTTGCAACTTTTGTCTCCATTGTTACGAAATTGGCTCCTCCTGCTCCTCCCCTAGTTAGTGCAGATGATCAGCTCAAATCCCTGGATAGAGGAGGAGCGTCACCAGTTCGGTGTTCCCGACGGTCCTTTTGATTTCTCGAAGCGCAATCCGACCGACGCCCGTAAGCGCGTTGCTCAGCTTTCTGAACGCCGGGACAAACTCAGTCGGACGGTCAACATGCGTGCCATGAATATGCTCGGGACGGCCGAAGAACAGTACTCTGATCTCCTGCGTCGGCGGGAGATCGTTCTTGCCGATAAACGCAAAATTCAAGCCGTCATTGATGACTTGGACACTCGAAAGGAGCAGGTTCTCATGGCTGCCTACGAAAAAGTCAACACGGTAAGCTCCCCCTCTCTCAATCTTCATATTTTATAAGATCTTAGCTTCATATGCTGCCGCTTAAACCCGGTTAACTTGGGGTGTGTGGTTTCATGTGCCGGAGTCCCGATTCTGTTTCTTTTTAATCTGATTTTTGAACTCCCTTAACTCGGTTTTTAGTCGTTATGCCAAAAGTTCAACTGTAGGCCCCGGCCTATTGCACGTTATCACTTTCTATTTTATTCTATTTGTGGTCTGGGATTGGCACTTGTGTCATTCGCGTTTCAGGAATTTAACAACATATTCTCTTCCCTACTGCCCGGAACGAGAGCTCAATTGGTCCCCCCTGAAGGTCAGACGATCCTTGATGGTCTTCAATTCCGCGTTGCCTTCGGTGACACTTGGAAGGAGTCTTTGAGTGAGCTTTCTGGCGGCCAAAGGTGAGTGCAGACTTTTTGACGATTCTCATTACCCCAGTGAATTGGTGTTGTATATTTTTCTTCGAAACCTCATTTAGGTCCTTGGTTGCACTTGCGCTCATTTTGGCGCTTTTGCTCTTCAAGCCTGCTCCCATTTACATCCTAGACGAGGTGGACGCTGCCTTGGATCTTTCCCACACCCAAAACATCGGTCAGTTGATCAAAAACCACTTCAAAAACGCACAGGTACGGCAAATACTATCCATCAAGTCTATGCTTGCTGTTTCAATACTAACACTTCGCCCTACTTTTAGTTCATAGTGGTTTCTCTTAAAGACGGGATGTTCAACAATGCCAATGTCCTCTTTAAAACAAAGTTCGTAAATGGCGTTTCTACGGTTACTCGACACACTCCAACCACGGTTCGGTCTGCGGCCGCTTCCAAGTTGGAGCCCAGGCCGCATCAGATCGGAAGCCGGCATAAGCTGGCCGTGTAACAATTCATCGACCGTTTATTATTTGTTCTGGAATGTACCCCAAACACTTACGCACTTTTGTGGACCTATTTGTTGCATTTATTATTTTTGTAGTGCTTTTTTACTTCCCGTGGATTTGTCTTTCGGGGTTCATTAATAAAAAATTCCAATAGTTTATGTTATCTGATCTACCAAATTTGGGTCAGCTATGTTGTGTGAATACCATTCTAAAGACGCAATTAGCATGTCCGGCATAGTTTTGTGTTTTTACTGCCTTTCCTTTGGGAACATTGTCGTTCAAATACTGCGTTTGGGAAACAAGTTGTCATTGTGATTGGGTTTCCTAGGAAACTGGGGTCCCTTTGGATGCTTTGCATCAAATAATTCCTAGTCTGGGCAAAAATCTGATTCCGGCTTTTTTTGGTCGAGACAGTTCATTTGGCTTATTTAAATATGAATTTAGGATTACCAATTGGAGAAGCCAACTATTCCTCTTAATCCTAATGCAATTGTTTCTGTTACATTCACTTAGTACTCGCATAAGTTTTGCGTATTTGCCTTCATCCTCTGTGAATTTCAATCTATTTCGGCATTGAATTTCTGGGTGCAACCTGAATTCAGTGGTAATGCTTCCAGACAGTGGTAGCATAGCATTGGGTGCACGCTCGACCAAAGAAGCGGTGGTACGCAAGCTACGGGTTTTTACAGTCTGTTGTGGGCCTCAGCACGTGGTCTTGAACTACACCAAAGCCACGGAATTAACCCTGGCTTCCGTGGAATTAACCCTGGAATTAATTACGCTTCCCTGATACCCGCGATGAAGGAAAAGATCGGATAGGACGTGGACACTACCGTTTACTTCAGAGCCCAACTGCGTCGGTGTCGTGTGTGGGGTTTGCGGATGTGAGTTATACACGCGCTAACATCGACACCTAGCCGTGCTGATAATCCAAGATAAATATCTGTGTGAAGGAAGAGGAAGTTGACGATCTGCGCGGCTGGCGAAATGCCGTGAAAAGGGAACACTGTGTCGTAGGTGGAGCAACGGGATTAAGGCGTGTGAATAAATGCAGTTCGATTTTTCGGTTGCCTTAACAGGTCTGAATTTGAATGCAAGAAGAAACAAGTGTCGTCAACATTCAAATTTTTTAAATTCCAATTGAGATATTAAAATAAGGATTTTGAGATTGTCCTTTACCTGCGAATTTCCTTAGAGGTAGATTTAATTTGGTTTAAGGACAAGAATTTTCTAATCATATCTATGACCTAATTATTTTTGCTCCGAAGACGAATACGCGACCATTGATTGCCCTGTGACAAAATTGATTTCGTTATAGTGTAAGTTTTGGTCCCATGGTATGAACAGGAGAGAACAAAACACTATGGAGCTTTTTAATGGAGACTACAATAGGGGAAAACAAGGTCCTTAAAGAGCCTTGTCCTGGTCGACCTCTTCTCCCGTTAGTCCGATCCTCGGCGATGTAATGGAGATGAAAAACTCGTGAGTGAATTGGCGCGTCATTCAATCCAAGCGTGACACCACTCAGCCGAAAGTCACGCCATTGGTCACATGATGTCGCCACCACGCCGTGCTGCTCACCGACTATCTGCTATTCCGCTACAGTAGGTATTTATTGTGTAGCAACGTTTAAGGACGCAGACATATTGGACCACACTGGCCTCAGCTAATCCTCTGTCTCTTTGCTTTCCAATGGCATGAGATGAAGATACGTAGCCAATCAGAGACGGAATCGCATGAAAAACGTATATAATGAGCGGTGCAGCCAGCGTTTTGCCTCGGATGGATTGCGCCTGACGTTCAGTTATGGCAATGGTTGGTCAATAAAGCCTGTTCTGTTGTATCAGATTTCTTCATACTAGGACTGGGGCATTCTGCAATGATGCCAGCAGATGCGTTTGAATTACGCCAATCGAACCCCAGTTTTTTCTCCTATGTACAACGGAGGCGAGGATACTTGAATGGGACGTGCGATTGTCCTGGTTTCCATTTGATATTCCAAACGCTGAGTCCATAGACATAACCCGGGCCTGGAATTGCTGCATCTGAGGTGACAACGACAAATCAATGACAGTAGAATCCAGTTGGACTGTATTAGTAGAAGGAAACTGCTGTGGATGTAACGGCATTCCTGCACGTCAGCAAGAGCAGAGTCCATCGTCTACAATTTGCTTAGACCACTATCCTGTCAGATGCGGGGTATCGTGGCTTTTTGAAATGGATATTTTGTAAGTCATCAACGGTGCCGGGAACCAAACCAGGAATTGATTACAGTTTCCCTCCTGAGGGGAAGGCAGTGTGGTGACGCACAAGGGCGAATACATTTTGGGCAACACCAGTTTCAACGAATCCTCTATCCATTTGCGATCCAATGGCATGCGAGGATAACAGGCAGACAACCAGGGACAGACGCGTGTGAGAAGAAATATATAAAGAACGGCGTAGCCAGTGTGTCAACTCTGATGGAAAGTGCCTGATGTGTGGTTCCGGCTTGTTATTGTTCAATAAAACCTGTTCTGATGTAGAAGTCTCCTACATACTAGAGCTCGGGTACTCAGAATTGGTGACGTAAAAGGTCGCAGACATCTTTGAACACACCATGGCTAGCTAATTCACTTTCCGATTGCGTTTTAATGGCATGCGAGGAAAATACGCAGCCAAAAGGTGACAGAAACTTAAATAAAGAGGCATATGATGAGCTGCGCAGCCAGCGGGGAGGACTCGGATGAACGACGTTGAATATAGCGTCCTGGCTTGTGATGGGTAATAAGACTTGTTGTTTTGCAGCAGTCTTCCACAAATAATGACTCGTATAAGCTAAAGTTGTCGGATGATGTTGCTTTTAAGATCCAAATCACACAAGTGGGATCATCAAATCTGCGCCTAGGCAATAAGAAATCACACTGCATTGCTTATATCTAAAATGCTATCAAAAAATTCATGCTAGTCCAGACAAAACATAAGGAGAACTTTATGATTTAAAGTGCACATTAAAATCTGTCTGCAGTGTAATTAAGTGTAGGCCTCAAAGTTGCTGTAATTTAAATAAATATTCCTTACGTTAGTCTCCGAATTATCTTGAAAGATTTTTTTTTTCAATATGCTCATTTGAAATGCAACATTTGCGGTCGTTGAATTGTGCATTCAATTTTTGTATGACTGCTGTGTTATTTGTTTCTCTAAATGGCATTGCATTAGCGTTTCCACTTCTTTATTTTCACTTCAAAGGTCAAAATATTTAAAATTAGAATAGTCATGTTCCACTTTTAATAACATTGGTTTATCTCTTCTTTTAATTAAAGATTTTTTAAAATTGCATACAAATATAGCAAGACTAGAAATTTAATAATTTGTTTTACTATCCTATTAGATTTAATGAAATTTCGACCTTACAATATTTTACTAGGCCCGTGTGTAACAAAATTTGAATTGTTGCACAACTCAAACAGGCGTTCAAAATGGTTGCAACTGGAGCTGTCACTAAACTGGCTGAGGTTGTACGTTTTTACTCATTCTTCTCCATTTTCTCCTTATTAATGCATTGTTTAATGGCTTGGAGGTGTTCTTGACTTGTTATTCTTTCACTTATGTCTACGCCGTTTAATGATGATGGAAATTCCACATGGTTTGCATACTTCAAATTTTATTCGACTCTTTAGCAAATTCTTTTACCGAAAATTTCATGCTGGTTTAGCTGTAGGATATTCATCTGTGGAGCAATTTATGTGTAGCTATGATTTAGTAGAAGTGGGGTTGGCCGTATTTGTATATTAAGTCTGATTTCCTGCTGACTTCATCTCACACTACAGTAGTATTTTGTAATATTTGGGTGCTGTGTTTTCAAAGCGTACATAACCTGTTGAAATAGGCTGGTGTTATTATGTCCTGTGTACTCTTATGTGGTTTTGGTATTTTTTACCATATAGGACTTCGAGTCTGTTCTTAAGGAAGACAAATTGGTTGTCTGCGATTTCTATGCGACGTGGTGTGGTCCTTGCAAAGCTTTTGCTCCCAAGTTTGAAGAAATGGCAAAGGCCCACACGAATGTTATTTTCGTAAAAGTTGATGCCGATGAGTGTGAGGTGAGTACAGTTTCTTTCTTCCCATTAATCTGTTCTATTTCGTATTAATAAACTTTTTTATAGGAACTTTCGAAGAAATACGAAGTCACTGCTCTGCCTACCCTGGTTGCATTTAAAGGTGGTGCTGAGGTCGGGCGCGTTGTCGGTGCTAGCGAAGATCAAGTCAAGGAGTTGGTGAAGACTTTTATGTAGAGAAGTCGACGGCTTAATCTCATTAAATTCCATCCCAGGCATTCTTGTGTTCTTGTTTTTTTTAGAATCATGTTTAGCCATCTTTGTCTCTACATGTGGCGAATTATCCCGTAGTAAACGTAAATTTCTATACGAAAAGTAACTGCATCTACTTTGTTGTGTCAAATAATCATGGTCTTATTCGAACGTGATCGTTGAGTGCGACGCAAATTTGCTCGATTTCTGCATATGGCTCAATGTCTTAAATAAGTCCTTACGATAGTCATTTGGGATCATGGGATACCTACTGTCGTAGTCGCTAAGAACGGATTGTGGATATCGGTTTCGGCTCAGCGATTGTATATTTATGATTCGTGCGTTTTCCCTGTTCGCTATGTCGGTTGTTCGCGACTTCCGACATTTTGATATCTCTAGTTGCTACCACTGTGAAAAACGCAAAAATGCCTGAATGTGGTGCAGAATATCTGAAAGGACCTTTGTAAGTGGCGTTCAAAATTCATGTGTGATAGAACCATGTTTGAGTCATGTTCTCGTTGATCAATTCCTTGGTCAATCTCTCGAAAAGAGTTACTGAAATGATTTGAGTCAGTGGAATGCAAGTAGACCTTTGTTTTCCACAAAAGTTGTGGGGCCATCTGTTTGAATCCGAGGACCACGCCGTGGGCTACTATCTATGAGTGGGTAGGAGATGCAGGGCCGACCGGTTGTCATTAAATGGACCCACGTTAAACGAAAAAAAAAACAATTAACTTCGTGGACATTTTGGTTTTGTCTGGTATGAATGATAGTATAACCAGCATAGTCTTGTTTTTGTGATTTAAAAACCCTGAAGTTTGGGATTTGTCGAAGGTTAGAGCTACCGAAAGTCCAAAAAATTATTTTTTTTTTCTGATTTGTTAGAGGATTTGCTCAAAGAGATAACTCTGGATCAGATGTGTGCGTCAAGTCTTTGTAGGGGAGGTTCCACCAGCACACATTTCGAATGCACTGTGTGAGGCGGCTTTACCGGCGGTTTAAGCTCTGTGTACTTGAAATTTGAGTCCTTGCTGTAGCATAGTCGTTCCAGAGTAAAGTGACTTAAGCTGATGCTCGAGTTTCAAGCTCTGGAAATAAGCCTTTTTTTACTGGCAACAGTTTAGTTGATTATTTCGTTTCGTTAACCGAAGTTTAGATTGACACACGCGTTCTATGGTTCTGTAAATGACGACCTGAATGTGAACCTAAAAACCCTTCCTTCAGCCACCTTTGCATGTCCGTGCGTTGTAGTTTGCGTGCGCTAACCCGTTTTCACTATGCATCGATCGCACGAGAATCTAGTTTTTCTATTCTAATTGGTTGGTGAGGTCAGCGCACTGAAAGTGTTAATGCAGGTGGCGTCTCATCGTGCACGATACAATCACACTAACAGCATTTTACCTGCTGCCAACTCTTATGGCTAAATGTGAGTGTGCAAAAAACTCACCAGCAAAATACAGTCGTTTATAATAGTCGTAATACCAGATTTTAAATTCTGCTTTTAAACTTTGTCGAAACTCTTAATGTATAAGCATTCAAATTCAATCGCTTCTTCTACTACAATCTGGTCATTTCGCGGCAAGGTAACAACAAGTGAATTAAATAAAGTATAAGTGGAGGCCAGTGCCACTACGATCAGAGTATCGGGTTTTCTCAACCAATTTTCAGCAATGACTTGTTACAATTCTGTCAAATTTAACGAAACATTCATGGAAATCTGTTCTTCCGGTGTGTTTACTACAATAGCAGTCCCGTTGCAAGGTTTTAACTGTAAATTTTGTCGAATAGCGTGGCGAAAGACAAATAAGGCGAATATTTATTCAAAGCTGTATTCGTAATTCAAAATGGACAAGCTCGCTGCAGCACTTCCATCTCTTTTATTTAACACCTTTCGCCCCTGGTGGACCTTTGTGTTTATAAAGATTTAGCCTTCCACTATTTCGTGCAAGTCAAAAATTCGATGGTAAATTATCATCCTACACACCTTCAAAACGATAACAGCCTCAGTCAGCCTAGATAAAAACAAATTTTCACCGAACTGAAACCCACATCATTAATCGATATTTGATCTACTAAGGATTCTAGAAGTGTTCAACCACAAAGTTCTTTGAGCAATCTTAGTAATCCGTTAAATGACAGCTGTAGGTCACATGTCCGGCGTTAGTTCGCAGGACCACACAAAAATAACCAAATTATGGCAATCACTTTCTTTAATTTGCAGGAGAAGTCCCAATCATCGACTCAAATTCCATCGCTGCGCACATTTGGCTGCATTATCAACCCCCGTGTTAGCGCAGCCAACGCAATCTACTGTCAGCTAAGGCGTTTGTCATGCGCGCTCGGTTTCTATGCTTGTTTGTTTGCGTGAAATCCACGCTTCAGCAATTCCACACTCGGAAAAACGCACCGGTCCTACTAACTGACTGACTGAAGCTGATTTTGGCCTCGTTCACCCACTTCGGTGTCGGTGCACTCGCACCTGCCCACAAATGCGGGTGCCACTATGCCCACACTATTAATTTCGAAGCTCAGGGGCCGTTTTCTTGGCGAAAACACAACCGTTTATCAAATCCATTGATCTCGTGGTGGTCATGAGAAATTGATACTTAACGGTAGCCATGTTTATTTACGAACATTTGATTTCAAATTACCACGTAAAACATGAAATGTGTTTTGCAATCTGTTTTGGCTTTTAATGTGTGCTTTCTTAATGAAATGAATGCTTTGTTGAATTAAGGCCTGATCAGAAAATCCGTTTTTTTTTCTGTTGTGTCCAAACTCAGTTTTCGATACAGAACCTAGATAGTTCAAGATCTGGATGCATTCAATCTTCAGCCTTCCCAAAACACAACAGATTCTTGACCGATGCAATAAGCTATTGAACTGTTTGCCTACGCATGCCATGACCTCAGGCGGTGTTCAGTAATAAGTTGTGTTCTCCGCCTGCCATTTAAAATGATGACGTGCTGCATGAAAGGCGCCCCAGAAATAGACAGTTATTTGAATCCTACAGAGCTGACGCCGCAGAGATTTAAAATCAAAAATTTCTGTTGGATCAAAAAATGCACAATAACTTCACTGGAATGACGAGATTCATTAACTCGATATACGTAGCTATCGCAGATGATCGGCGGTACTGATGGATTTACCGAAATAGTCGTTCCATCGAAAAGACAATTTGCTCTAATGGGCATTTTAAGAGGATTCTTTGATATTCAGTAGGCCGAATAATCCAATGCCATATATTTCCGAAAAGGTATCAAGGTTAGTTGTAAAGGTAACATGTTCTTTTCATGAACCTAATACCTCCGTTATCGCTAAAAGTATCTTTCAACAGTAAACAAACAAATTATTTGAGATTTGGTCGTGGTCACGTCTCTATTGTTAGCTGTATATAAAATAACCAAGCAAATGAACATTGTGACTTCAAAAAATATGCCCACATGTGTTCAAGTATTTCATTAAGACGAAGAATGTCAGAGGTGAGTGTCGTAGGTATTGTTATACGATGACTCCTTGTAATGGGAAAGTTCAAACATTTGTTAAGAAGTGAGTGCGATTTACAGTAGGAAGTTAGAGTGGATTGCGTCTACTACGTGCTATCCCATTTAATGGTCCAGAGCTTTATGTAAATTAGCAAAATGTCGCAGCCCCGGGGTAATGGACTCGCAGAATTGTTTAATTCGATTCATGCGAGCGTACAAATGGCACGGCCTTTTAATGTGTGGAGCGATTAATGAAACTAATTCTCTGCCACTGCCTGCCATCTGCTAATTCTAGGCGTTATTCGTTTTACGGATTAGAGTTCATGAATAAGGCAACTTCGTTGAATACTGAAAACAGTGAGAATCGATTGTTTCTTGTTACTCAATTTCGCCACAATTTTGGCGCGGATTGTAATGACGAATAGATTATTGATTGCCTTTAGTCGGCTTCCAAAACAGTCCAAATATGCGAGGCAGCATAGGGGAGGGATTAAATGAATTATTTTAAATATTTGTGCAAATGATTGGTGCAAATCCGATGGGAAGAGCAACATTTCCTATCTATCACTTATTATCCCTGATTTGATCAACCAAAAGAATGAGCTTATGAACACGAGTGGAAAAAACGAATCATCTTATGTTGCAGGAACCGGGGATCAGAAAAGCCTATGTGGTGGCTGACGGAAAAAAAGCCGAAGATTTAAGCTACAAAAAAGCCCATATAAGAGCTTTAAATGAGGTTTTCAAACCTTAGAATCATACATTTGATGACTTTGTGATTTCGATTTTAATCTAATTCAGTAAGCTGTTTTACAAGGAGGAAAAATGGACTGGAACCACTTAGTTTTTTCTGTTTTCTGAAGGCCTTAGAACGACTTTAATGCATGTCAACACTGGTTACCAAATTAGGATTTGTTCCTTTTTTAAAGGCTATACCAATTAACCAAATTCGCCCCATATAATTAGGGAATATCTGTTGAGTCTAATGTGCACCTCTGGGTGGCAAAGTCCTATTGAATAACATTTATGTTCGTCTATTGTGCCTATAAACGAAATTAGATCTAAACTGGCTGTCCTAAAACTATACCATTGTTTCATTAGTGAAAGTAAGTTTTTGATATTCCTGTGGCGATCAGCGAGGAAACATGTTACTGACCTTGAGCGAGTTGGAAATTAATCGATTAAGTGCACCTCACGTTGCGGTATTCATTATTTCTTGGTTGTGCCTTGTCAAAGTAGGTCGTTTGGCCTAGCTGCGGTCTGAGAATCGCACTAGTTTTTAGTAAACACAATAACCCAAAACCCTGCTGAAAAGGCTACCTACCTCATGTCCGCATTCCCACAAAGCACCAAACCAATGTGATGAGAGCAAACGAAGTTGGATAAATAGTATTTGATTAATCTTTTCGATGGATATATGAATGTGGGATTCCCCGAAATTGAACCAGTGAAACTCACTGGAGGCAAAATGCGTCTTTGACTAATAAATTTGAATAAACT